CTCGGAAAATGACAGAGGTATGGGCACAGAGCTGTACATTGCACCTGTGATGTGTTGATTATGTGGGCAATGCTCTGCAGGCTCCTGTTTTAAAAAATAATCACACTTTACCTACAAAGATATGCGCATTTATTTTTTTAATTAAAGGACAACTTGGCCTGCAAAAACTGTAGCTGCTGACTTTTAATAAACACAAACTCACCTGTCCCAGAGTCCAGAGATGTACTTACCTGCGGTGTCCTTTCTCTCCCTGATGCCGGCATCTCAACTGTGGGCACCAGACTGTGACAGCTTGCGGCTTAAACAGTCCGGTGCTCACTGCGCATGCGCGAGTTGTGCTGCGCATCCTGATTGGTCTGGCAGTCTTATGTGACCTGTGATGTGTCTTAGAAGACTATGGAAGGGATGAGGGGACCGAACCTCCGGCTCATTTTGTCTCGGCAAACTTAGCTGGGAGTGGCACATGGTACCTGTCAAAACCAGGTATCTGCTCGCTCCCCCAAATATGGCGAGGTGGGGGGGGGGCAGAGCTTACACTTTTGGGTGGAATTCCGCTTTAAGACAAATACTATGTATGGAAATGTTATATATACAGTGGGGATCGAATGTTTGGGCACCCCAGCTATAAATTTGTATTAATGTGCATAAAGAAGCCAAGGAAAGATGGAAAAATCTCCAAAAGGCATCAAATTACAGATTAGACATTCTTATAATATGTCAACAAAAGTTAGATTTTATTTCCATCATTTACACTTTCAAAATAACAGAAAAATGGCGTCTGCAAAAGTTTGGGCACCCTGCAGAATTTATAGCATGCACTGCCCCCTTTGCAAAGCTGAGACCTGCCAGTGTCATGGATTGTTCTCAATCATCGTCTGGGAAGACCAGGTGATGTCAATCTCAAAGGTTTTAAATGCTCAGACTCATCTGACCTTGCCCCAACAATCAGCACCATGGGTTCTTCTAAGCAGTTGTCTAGAAAACTGAAACTGAAAATAGTTGACGCTCACAAAGCTGGAGAAGGCTATAAGAAGATAGCAAAGCGTTTTCAGATGTCAATATCCTCTGTTCGGAATGTAATTAAGAAATGGCAGTCATCAGGAACAGTGGAAGTTGAAGCAAGATCTGGAAGACCAAGAAAAATATCAGACAGAACAGCTCGCAGGATTGTGAGAAAAACAATTCAAAACCCACGTTTGACTGCACGATCCCTCCAGAAAGATCTGGCAGACACTGGAGTTGTAATACACTATTCCACTATAAAGAGATACTTGTACAAATATGGTCTTCATGGAAGAGTCATCAGAAGAAAACCTCTTCTACGTCCTCACCACAAAAATCATTATTTGAACTTTGCAAATGAACATATAGACAAGCCTGATGCATTTTGGAAACAAGTTCTGTGGACCGATGAGGTTAAAATTCAACATTTTGGCCGGAATGAGCAAAGGTACGTTTGGAGAAGAAGGGGCACAGAATTTAATGAAAAGAACCTCTGACCAATTGTTAAGCATGGGGTTTGGATCAATCATGCTTTGGGGTTGTGTTGCAGCCAGTGGCACAGGGAACATCTCACGAGTAGAAGGAAAAATGGATTCAATAAAATTTCAGCAAATTTTGGATGGTAACTTGATGCCATCTGTGAAAAAGCTGAAGTTAAAGAGAGGATGGCTTCTACAAATGGATAATGATCCTAAACACACCTCGAAATCCACGGGGGAGTACATCAACAGGCATAAACTGAAGGTTTTGCCATGGCCTTCACAATCACCTGACCTCAACATAATTGAAAATCTATGGATAGACCTTAAAAGAGCAGTGCGTGACAGACAGCCCAGAAATCTCAAAGAACTGGAAGACTTTTGTAAGGAAGAATGGGCAAAGATACCTCAAACAAGAATTGAAAGACTCTTGGCTGGCTACAAAAAGCGTTTACAAGCTGTGATACTTGCCAAAGGGGGCAGTACAAGATATTAACTCTGCAGGGTGCCCAAACTTTTGCAGATGCCATTTTTTTGTTTTCTGTTATTTTGAAAGTGTAAATGATGGAAATAAAATCTAACTTTTGTTGACATATTATAAGAATGTCTAATCTGTAATTTGATGCCTTTTGGAGGTTTTTCCATCTTTCCTTGGCTTCTTTATGCACATTAATACAAATTTTAGCTGGGGTGCCCAAACTTTCGATCCCCACTGTATATATGTATGTGTATGTGTGTGTGTGTGTGTGTGTGTGTATATGTATATATATATATATATATATATATTTTATATATATATATATAAAATTTTATGTACTATATTGCCAAAAGTAGCCCTCCAAATCCTTGGATTCAGGTGTTCTTGCCCATCTGCACATTATCCAAACTAAATGGTTTGGCTGTCCTTCCACTTTAACTCTTGGCTCTATAACCTGCAGGAACGTATCTGAAGAGAATTGTAAATCTTTGCCAATGAAAGCTTTTCACATTTATATATTTTAGCTTTTTCACTGGAGTTCAGCTTTAACTTGTTCAATCCTTATTATTATGTTTAATTTGTGTTTTCAAGCTTAATGACCTTTTTTGGAGTTTCATTTTAAAGCAATAATTAGTGTACCTAATAGACATTACATGGTTTGCACTATACTGTACTTAGTAATGGATTCATGAATAACTAATATAAAGTAGTGACAAAATGCTGCAGATTTTTATACGTAACGGATTATAGTAGAAATTGTTTGTTGTGAAATGTGCCTGTTTTGTTTTACCGCAATACTGAGCATTAAATGCAGGTGCCTGCTGACTGTAGAGCTGCTTTGTGTGCTGTCTTGTCTGTTCTCCTGTAGATTGTCGCTCCCTTAGAAGAATATTATTTCTCATCTTTTCTGCATGATGAGCCTGCTGATTCCACGTTCTGGAAGATGCTCATTCCGCACGGGGCTGAATCAGCAACACTGTGCTTATGAGAGGACATTAAGACGCGTGAACAGACTATGTAAGACGGGGCATTAGGTATCTGACTGCTGGAGAAAGGAGGAATATTTCCTTTATCTGCTTGCAGTTCTGCTTACTGTAAAAATGAGGCCTTGTGTAGATTAACCCATTACAATGAATCTGCGTATTTTTGACCTTTCTAATTTTAATACTCTAGCCAAAATTATTACACTCTTGCTGTCAATTGTAATTTGTTTGGTGTATGATGCAGTGTATTCTCTTCTTGTAACCTTTGGGCCACATTCACACCTTTTTGGTGCATTAAAGTGATTTTAAAGTTTTGGCTTTTTTTTTTTTTTTTTTACCTGCTCTGAGCAGTGGTTTTGCACAGGACAGTCCTGATCCTCCACTTCTCAGGTCCCCTGCTGGCACTCCTGGCCCTTTCCTCTTGCTTAGTGCGTCCATAGCAAGCAGCTTGCTATGGGGGCTCCCGAGCCACTGCTCTGTGTGGCCGTTTCACATGGAGCACGGCTCAGCCCCTCCTCTGACCTCTCCTCATTGGCTCACTGGCTGTGATTGACAGTAGTACTGCTGCTTTCTCAGCCAATGAGGAGGGAGAGCCAAGCCCACAGCCCAGTACTGCAGTGAGTACTGGGGGGGACAGAACAGACAGCGGTGACTGACAATCACTGTTCTCTGCTCACAGTGGCTGTGTCTGAACTCAGCGATCAGAGGTCATGTGATCTCTGAGTTCTCACATTTAGAGCAGGCTGGGGACAGATGCAGCATCAGACTGATGCTGCACCCACCTAGGTAAGTATAAATGGGGAAAAAAAAACGCCCCACTTCTCTTTTAAGGTAGCTCATTTATTTGAATGGGCTGCCAATGCACGAGCACCAGAAAACGCACCTGTGCAATTTTTAGAAACGCAGTGCATCACGAAGCACTGTTGTATGGTAAAGGTCTTTTGAAGAGTACTGAAACACTGCTTCATTTTAAAGTGGTTGTAAAGGAGAATAATAAAACTCCCAAACCTGTTTATACTTACCTGCTCTGTGCAGGAATTGCGCAGACTGGCCCTGATCCTCCTCTTCTCGGGTTCCCCGTCAGCGCTCATGGCTCCTTCCCTCCTGTTGGTGCCCCCAGTAGGAATCCAATTCCTATGGGAGCACTCATGTAGGCTCGCTGCATCCTTTGACACATACAGTGGGACTTGGCCACACCGCCCACTCCCTTGTCAGTGGAGTTGATTGACAGGAGCGGGAACCAATGGCTCTTCCTGCTGGTGTTGATCTGCCCAGTGAGGGGGGATAAAACCAGGAGAACTGCAGCTCTCATGCACAGTGTTGGATCGTGATGGGGCTCAGGTAAGTATAAGGAGGGGGGCGGCGATTCCTTTACACAGAAGGCTTTTTACCTATGCAGTAAGGTAAAAAAAAACCTGAGGCTTTAGAACCACTTTAAAGTACTGGAATCCTCTACTCTTCCAACCACTCCATCCCCCACAGTTATTACCTCTTGTACCACTATCCCCTCCCTCCTAGATTGTAAGCTCCAAGGAGCAGGGCCCTTAAATCCCTCTTGTATTGAACTGTATTGTTACTGTATTGTCTTCCACCATAATGTAAAGCTCTGAGCAAACTGTCGGCGCTATATAAATCCTGTATAATAATAATAATATTGTTTTACCTCCATAGGATACACAAGTGTTCCATGCATCCGCATGCAGGCAATCCCATTCATATCAGGACACGGCAGGTACACAGACCCTGCCACTGCTTCCAATTTGACATCCATGTGGGTGCGTATTTATGTCCCTGAACTCAAACCCACACTGCTTGCTCTTGGGGACACGCACCCACATGGGTGTCAAGTTGAGAGCAGTGGCTGCTGCTTCCCAATTGACATGAATGGGACTTGCCTGTACACAGATGTACTGGACACCTGTGCATCCTCTGCATGCAAACCATGCCCCTCACATTTGTGTATGCTTAATTACTCCATGTGAATGGGGCCTAAAACATCTGCTTTTAGTTATATTGCTTAAATAAGTGCCAGTCTAGTAAAGGTTTTGTGTTTTATTTTGTTTTCCAGGAAGCCAAACCATCCAGTGAGGACTTAGGGGATAAGAAAGGGGGGGGGTGACTATATTAAACTGAAAGTAATTGGCCAGGTAAGCATTCACAAATCGGAGATGAAATTTGCCCATTTTCTCTAATTAAATGATCTTCATAAACATGTTTAGACAGTTTAAACATATTGAAATTTTTAATTATAGCCGAATTATAGGGTTCAATTCACACCTCTATACTGCCTGCTGTCACATTCCCCACATTCTTCTCATGCACTTACTGTCCCCTCCCATATACTTCACATTCCTTTCCTACATGCACTGCCTGCCTTCATTTTTTCCACTTTCGTTTTCTGCACATACTATCCCCTTTCATACCCTCCACACTGCTTTCCTGCATGTACTGCCTGCCGTTATTCCCTCCATACTCCTCTTCTGCACATTCTGTGCGCTGTCATACCTTACACTTCTCTCCGGTGCATATTGCCTGTCCTCTTACCCTTCACACTCTTCTCCTGCGCATAGTGTCCTGGTTCATATACTCCTTTCCTGTATGCACTGCCTGCCGTTATTCCCTCCATACTTCTCTTCTGCACATTCTGTGTGCTCTCATACCTTACAATTCTCTCCAGTGCATATTGCCTGTCCTCATACCCTTCACACTCTTCTCCTGCACATAGTGTCCTGGTTCATATACTCTTTTCCTGCTTGTACTGCCTGCCGTTATTCCCTCCATACTCCTTCTGCACATTCTGTGTGCTCTCATACCTTACAATTCTCTCCAGTGCATATTGCCTGTCCTCATACCCTTTACACTCTTCTCCTGCACATAGTGTCCTGGTTCATATACTCTTTTCCTGCATGTACTGCCTGCCGTTATTCCCTCCATACTCCTCTTCTGCACATTCTGTGTGCTCTCATACCTTACAATTCTCTCCAGTGCATATTGCCTGTCCTCTTACCCTTTACACTCTTCTCCTGTACATAGTGTCCTGGTTCATATACTCCTTTTCCTGCATGTACTGCCTGCCGTTATTCCCTCCATACTTCTCTTCTGCACATTCTGTGTGCTCTCATACCTTACAATTCTCTCCGATGCATATTGCCTGTCCTCATACCCTTCACACTCTTCTCCTGCACATAGTGTCCTGGTTCATATACTCCTTTCCTGCACGTACTGCCTGCCGTTATTCCCTCCATACTTCTCTTCTGCACATTCTGTGTGCTCTCATACCTTACACTTCTCTCCGGTGCATACAGTCAGGTCCATAAATATTGGGACATGGACACAATTCTAACATTGTTGGCTCTATACATCACCACAATGGATTTGAAATGAAACAAACAAGATGTGCTTTAACTGCAGACTGTCAGCTTTAATTTGAGGGTATTTACATCCAAATCAGGTGAACGGTGTAGGAATGACAACAGTTTGCATATGTGCCTCCCACTTGTTAAGGGACCAAAAGTAATGGGACAATTGGCTTCTCAGCTGTTCCATGGCCAGGTGTGTGTTATTCCCTCATTATCCCAATTACAATGAGCAGATAAAAGGTCCAGAGTTCATTTTAAGTGTGCTATTTGCATTTGGAATCTGTTGCTGTCAACTCTCAAGATGAGATCCAAAGAGCTGTCACTATCAGTGAAGCAAGCCATCATTAGGCTGAAAAAACAAAACAAACCCATCAGAGAGATAGCAAAAACATTAGGCGTGGCCAAAACAACTGTTTGGAACATTCTTAAAAAGAAGGAACGCACCGGTGAGCTCAGCAACACTAACAAACCCGGAAGACCACGGAAAACAACTGTGGTGGATGAGCAAAGAATTCTTTCCCTGGTGAAGAAAACACCCTTCACAACAGTTGGCCAGATCAAGAACACTCTCCAGGAGGTAGGTGTATGTGTGTCAAAGTCACCAATCAAGAGAAGACTTCACCAGAGTGAATACAGAGGGTTCACCACAAGATGGAAACCATTGGTGAGCCTCAAAAACAGGAAGGCCAGATTAGAGTTTGCCAAACGACATCTAAAAAAGCCTTCACAGTTCTGGAACAACATCCTATGGACAGATGAGACCAAGATCAACTTGTACCAGAGTGATGGGAAGAGAAGAGTATGGAGAAGGAAAGGAACTGCTCATGATCCTAAGCATACCACCTCATCAGTGAAGCATGGTGGTGGTAGTGTCATGGCGTGGGCATGTATGGCTGCCAATGGAACTGCTTCTCTTGTATTTATTGATGATGTGACTGCTGACAAAAGCAGCAGGATGAATTCTGAAGTGTTTCGGGAATATTATCTGCTCATATTCAGCCAAATGCTTCACAACTCATTGGACGCTTCACAGTGCAGATGGACAATGACCCAAAGCATACTGCAAAAGCAACCAAAGAAGTGGAATGTTCTGCAATGGCCAAGTCAATCACCTGACCTGAATCCGATTGAGCATGCATTTCACTTGCTGAAGACAAAACTGAAGGGAAAATGCCCCAAGAACAAGCAGGAACTGAAGACAGTTGCAGTAGAGGCCTGGCAGAGCATCACCAGGGATGAAACCCAGCATCTGGTGATGTCTATGCGTTCCACACTTCAGGCTGTAATTGACTGCAAAGGATTTGCAACCAAGTATTAAAAAGTGAAAGTTTGATTTATGATTATTATTCTGTCCCATTACTTTTGGTCCCTTAACAAGTGGGAGGCACATATGCAAACTGTTGTCATTCCTACACCGTTCACCTGATTTGGATGTAAATACCCTCAAATTAAAGCTGACAGTCTGCAGTTAAAGCACATCTTGTTTGTTTCATTTCAAATCCATTGTGGTGGTGTATAGAGCCAAAAATGTTAGAATTGTGTCCATGTCCCAATGTTTATGGACCTGACTGTATTGCCTGTCCTCATACCCTTCACACTCTTCTCCTGCACAGTGTCCTGGTTCATATACTCCTTTCCTGCATGTACTGCCTGCCGTTATTCCCTCCATACTTCTCTTCTGCACATTCTGTGTGCTCTCCTACTTACAATTCTCTCCGATGCATATTGCCTGTCCTCATACCCTTCACACTCTTCTCCCTGCACAGTGTCCTGGTTCATATACTCCTTTCCTGCACGTACTGCCTGCCGTTATTCCCTCCATACTTCTCTTCTGCACATTCTGTGTGCTCTCATACCTTACACTTCTCTCCGGTGCATATTGCCTGTCCTCATATCCTTCACACTCTTCTCCTGCACAGTGTCCTGGTTCATATACTCCTTTCCTGCATGTACTGCCTTTCATTCCCTCCACACTCCCTTTCTGGTCATACTGTCCCTCTTAATATCCTCCACACTCCTATCCTTCACACACTGTCAGCAGTCATAGCTTCTACCCTCATCTCCTGTATATACTGCCTGCCATCATGCTGTAACCCCCCTCCGTACTCCTTTCCTTGACCTGCCAACCTCTGACATATCCGCCACATTCCTCTCCTGCGGATACTGCCTGCTGGTGTACCCTTCGTACTCTCTTCCTGTACACAGTCCCTGCCAAAATACTTTCAGCATTGTTTGTAATATCCCAACTTTGCCCATTTTGCAATGTGCACCCTTTGCTACTGAGCAGTAAATCAGATACTGCTTGTTTGTCTTTCTTGGTAACCAGCTTTAACCAGACCTTTTCTGTTTTTTTAGGACAGCAGTGAAATTCATTTTAAGGTAAAGATGACGACGCACCTGAAAAAGCTGAAAGAATCATACTGTCAGAGACAGGTAATTGAATTGCAGGCTGTGGTTCCCAGTTGTTTAGAACTACATATTTGTCTTATAGTGTATATAATCTGATCTGTCTGTTTATAAAGATTGATCAAACATTTCCTACAATTTAACTGGCTGGTGATAAATCCTGCCTGGGTATCTTTCAGTTTACAAATGGTTTACGAAGGGGTATGCAGTATTAAAAAGAAAAAAAAAAAAAAAAAATCATTAAAAAAAACTTTGAAGAATGTTTGTTTCTCCTGCAGCTTCACTAGGGAATATGCCAGGAGTAGTTAAGCAGTAAGTAAGTGAAACTCTTAAAAATCAATATGCTGTGAAAAGTAATAGCAAAGCAGATTTTCTGCGTCAGCCTTTTTATGTGACTGTGCAGTAATACATGGCAGCCAGTGTTTTTGCCTTGTAATTGTTTGATTGACATATGCCATGCAACTACCTTGATGGAAATAATCAGATGGGTTGAAAATATCTGATCTGTTTTCATCAGTTTAGTGCTGTGAAATGGAATAAATGCTAGTGAAAAATCATCGATCTTTTGGGGATGCGATCATTTCATGCTCAAAGAATGGAAAAAAGATATCTATTCTTAGATTGTTGGGGACCTTGCCAAGTACTGCAAGGCACGGCACTGCATGTTACTTGTATTGGTGCAATGTGGTGCCTTTCATTTGAATGGTGCTTCAATGCACCTTGCTGATGGACGTGCATTGTAGCACAGCATGCATCAATGCCCTCAAATGCAGTGTGCTGCCACAAAAAATGCATGTACCATTTTTTGGTAAGCTCCTCAACACATCTGTTAAGGTGTGTTGGGGTGCCATTTAGACTGATGCGCGTGGCAAAGCATAGTGTGAATGAGGCCCCCAGTCTTTTAAAATCCAATAATTATCAAGAGATTTGTTACATTTTGCATTGTAGTACAGCACACATCAGTGCCCTAAAATGCAGTTACATTTTGGATTGTAGCACAGCCCTAAAATGCAGTTACATTTTGCATTGTAGCACAGCACAAATCAATGCCCTAAAATGCAGTGTGCTGCCAAAAAAAATGCATGTACGATTTTTTGGCAAGGTCCTCAACACATCTGTCAAGGTGTGTTGGGTGTCATTTAGACTGAAGCACATGGCAAAGCATAGTGTGAATGAGGCCCTCAGTCTTTCAGAATCCAATAATTACTAAGAGATTTGTTACATTTTGTGTCTGACATTTTATTTGCAGGTGTGAGTTTATTTATCTTCTATCCAGGCTATCAAATGCTGTTTAGATTTTATACACAGCCAACAAATGCAATCAATGGGTTGAGCACAGCAACTGGATTCACAACAAATATTTTTAGTGTGTTGGACATGTATGCTTTTTAACTTTGTGCACACCCGTTGTGACATTGCTGTTCTCTAAATTATGTAGTTGCTTCAATTCCTGTTGTCATTTTGATAAAATACTGTCAGTTATTGATGTATTGCCTATATGCTTAAGGTTAGGCCTCCATCATGAGTGATATGTGTGCATATGCCGGATTCCAGCGACAAGAATTGGCTGCTCTGCCATTGCAGAGCATTGTTTGTGTGTATCTGCGCCACTAGCGATTACCTGCAGTTACAGATGGATGATCAGCCTTGGAAGCAAACAGATGTAATCCTAGCCGCAAAGATCTGCTGATTTTTTTTTTTTTATTTAATATATATGGCCTTAAAGTGCAGCTTGCACCAAAATTATTATTTTTTTTGGGGGGGGGGGAAGGGGGGGGGGGCTGGCTGGCTTGCACTTTCTTTACGGGTGACCACTGTTTTTGGCATAGAAGGTTAAAGTAGAACTGTTTTAGCTGAAGTTCCACATTAAAGTAGTGACCTGACCATCTTTGTGTTTTATGGTTATTTCATCGGGCTGTGATTTCCAAAACACAGAAGTTCTCTGAAAGAAATATTCTTTGCGTATTAGTTTCTATGTGCTGTTACTGCACTGTTTGACATAAAACAAAAGCTATTATGTTCACCCAACAATTGCTTCTCCTGCACACAAGCCGTGTAATACAGGTTCATAAAGTGCCAGGACTACAATTATTGCTGACCTTGTGTGGATTAAATCTTTTTTTCTTTCCTTTTCTTTTTTCCCCCACCCACAAGCAAGTCATCCCACCATTCTGATCACCTTACAATGTAGTCTTGCTTCATTCTACTGTCATAGAAGGCCCATGCCTTCACCTTCCATGTCCAGTGCTCCAGTATAAGAAAGATAGCATTTGTAGATGATCAGTGTGGAGAAATAAACCAAACCAGAAGGCTTGGCACTTGTCATTGCAGCTCATTTTTGTTGTTCAGTCTGAAAGGTTTGGATTTTATTCAGCTTCGTTTTTCTTTTTTTTAACCATTTGCTATTGGGCTAAAGGTTTCTTAAGCAGCTAACAGTAACTTTTTTCCCTTGTTTGGTCAATCAACATTTAGAGCTATACTTATTGTGATAACATTTTTCTTAAATCTTTTTTTTTTTTTTTTAGGGTGTTCCCATGAATTCTCTAAGGTTTCTTTTTGAAGGACAGAGGATTTCAGATCACCAGACCCCGAAAGAGGTTAGTTGTGTACAAGTATTGCATAGCTCATTGCAGGAGTGTCATATACAAATAGACTTATTTTAATCATACAGAACATGAAGCAGGTTGAATATTCCAAGACCATGTGTTATAGGCTGGTACCTTCAGGTCATTGAACACTGACAAAGTTTCCGGGAACATGCCCCTTGTGCATTCCACCCACTGCGTCCCCCCCCCCCCCTTAACCCTACTCTGCTTTGATGGCCCTCTTCTCCCATGTGGAGAAATCACTCTTGGCATCTGTTTATAGTCTTCTATGACAACAATAGAAGAAATGCATCCAGACCACAGTAACCTTGGTCTAACCTTGGGAACTTTACCCAGACCAAGCACCATGGAGGAAGCTTGTAATATTTCTTCAGGCACTGGATCCTGCATGGGCGCTCACCTAAACACTTTGTGCCCAGTGCCTGAAGATCTTTTTGGGAGTATGCCATGGTCATGGACAGAGTCTGGACCTTGTATAGGGATCATCAATATGGATGAGGTAAGATAGGGTCATCCTGTGTACCGAGCAGTTACTGTACTCCCCAATCCCGAATAGTATGCATTTATACAATATGACTGTTGGGAAACCTGGACTGTGTTTGAAATGTACTCGCTAATGGTGTATGCTTAATCTCAGGTGTATAATCAAGTGTTACATCATACCACAGGTACCACACTTAACCAACATTTCCTGCCTAGACCTCTTCTAATATACTCAGGTGCTTTCCTGCCCTTCTGCCACGAGGACTTGCTGCAGGATGGTCTGTACCCTGGTTGCTACATTTGCCCTGTTTTCACACTCTATTCTGTTAGTGCCCATAGGAGAATACACTCACTTGTCGCAATGGTGGAAACCAGGAGAGATGGGGCCATGGTAAAAGCTCCAACAAACATTCGCTTTGCCAAGGGGCGGCACAACACTTAATTTCAGAGTGACAATGCTTCCCTTGCACGGGAGCAAGACTCAATACTGACACGGTTCTCTCCATCTGATTCTAACACTATCTCAGACAGGCAATAAGTGACCTACCTGACTAAAGCAGACTTTTTTTGCTCCGTTGTCAAAATTTATCATACAACTAACTGCTTTAATACAGCCATCACTGTCCAGGCCTCAAAAATCCCAGGCTCCTTCAGCACTGCCTTCTCTAGCAGAGTCAGATCCCAGTATGCCTGCCCTGGGAGAGGCAGACCTAGAAGGGAATGAAGAGGACCTGTAGGTGGTGTTAGAGGAAGGCACTGAAGATACTCACCCCCAGGCTCCTATGCACCTCATATTAAAATTTCAAGCAATATGCTTACAAATGTGGATATGCTCACTTCTGCTGTGCGCAAAAGCCTCAGCGCACTTGATTCTCTTGTCTTGCCAGGCCCTTTCAAGTACCAAGAAATCTACAAAATAAAAAGACATTTCCTGTTCATGAACAGAGAGAATGGCAATTATGATTTGGTCAATTCAGAAAATAGACTGTCTGTAAGGGAAGCGATCTGAGCTGTGTGCCATGTGTGGGGGACGAGGGGGAGAGAAGCTGTGCTGCCTGTGACCAGACTTTGCGTAGTACTGGGATGTGAGAAGTCAATGAGAGTTCAACATGTACAACATCCATGGATCCATAGGGGACGGGGGGGGGAACACAACTGAAATTTAGGGGGGGGCTCTGTCTATGCCACTTATGTATTTTCCACAATTATTTTTGCAGAGGAATAGAACAGTGCCTGAACTTGTTTACTGTTCAGGTGTGTGCCTGTTCAGAAGTTGCAGCCACATCTCCCAGTGGAGGAGGGATAGAAAGAGGGGGTGGGTTGTTGAAGTTGTAACTGCCACCTCTAAACTTTCAAACCGCAAATGGACCGTTACTGGGACATATATGACAAATGAAGTGTCCCTGCTGGAAAAACAAAAGGAAGGAGGAAATAAATAATCGCTGATTGTTATTGATTGTTACATGATCTTGGTAATATTTCTTAATTATTTAGACTATCCCATACTTCTCCCTTAATTCTAAAGGAGTTAAAGCATCGCCTATGGATAATTTTAAGGAACATACATTCCACATTAATAATTACGCTACCAAAATTAGCGTGTGCTGTAAATTACCTCCAGCATTGTTCCTGTTCTTTCTGGAAGCTGCCATTTTGCTGGAGTAGTTCAGAGCCCCTGAGCAACAGTAAATCTTTAGGCTGTCAGTAGATCGGCCTCTTCATTTTTGGCACAGTGCTAAAAAATAAAGAGCAACTGAGCATGTGCGGAGCAGGGTGAGACAGTGTATTACTGGATTCTAAACCATATAGGCACATATTTTTAATGGTTTACATAGCTATACTTGCAGAAGGGGCCAGCATGAAGTGATCTAGCAGGACCTAATTTTCTGACTAAAATTATTTTATGGCTTAAAGCCTGTTCAGCTAAATCTGCCTACAAGACGCCTCAAACATATGCCTTTTGAAGAAGAATGCTGAAGAAGGAAAAGTTATATTGCGAAAGGGTCCATCTGTCAGTTTTTCAGATGATCTGATCAGGTGGTCCATTCACCCCTATTGACAGGCAGGTCAGACTTGTGTCCGTTTTTACACCCACCTACCTTTGGGTAGGTGTCTGTGAGCAGATCCCCTAGTGTTTGGGACGTGTCTTCCCCATCTGAAAAGGGCCCAAGAAACATGAAGCATTTAGGGAAGCAATCTAGATCATCCCATGGATGGAAAAAGATTGTCCAGCAATCTCTGCTATTCACATCCCAGGAGTGGACATCTGGAAGTTGGACTATCTCAACCCAGCCATTACTGCTTGGATCAAGGGGAATGGGCATTTCACCCTGACATCCTCAGCCTGACATGTCATGGGTAGTGGACTCAGGACGTGGACATCCTTGCCTCCCATGTTCAACACCAAGTTAACTCTGTAGACAGGACCATGAATCCTCCAGCACTTGCATTGGATGCCCTGGTGATTCACTAGATTAATTTTAGGCTAATCTATGTCTTTCCTGCAGTGCTCATTCTGCCTCGACTGCTCCACAAAATAGAGCAAGAGAAGGAACATGTGATTTTCATTGCAACAAATTGGCTCAGTAGAACCAAGGACACAGACATACTCAGACTGTTAGGAGATGACCCCTGGCTTCTTCCTAGCAGGCCAGATTTGCTGTCCCAATGCCCTCTTTTCCATCTGCTTCTAAGTCCCCGCAGGCCAGATCATAAAAGGGTCTGGGAGTCTGTTATCCCTACTTTGCTGAAAGCAAGTAAAGCCACTTCCAGCAGGATCTACTATTGTACCTGGAAATTCTTCTTTGTCTGGTATGACCACAGGCACTTCAACCACACAGAATACTATGCCTTGTAATCTGGCTGTTCTACAATGAGGGCATGGTCATTGGTTTTTGGCCATAAAGCACTCTGACAGAATGGGTTTTAGCCATTTTTTTCCCCAAATATTCAGGCCTCACTCTCCCTTGTCAATACCTTTTTTTTCCTTTTTGCAGCACCCTGTGCTTTCTTGGGGCCTTAGCCTGATCTCTCTGCCCTGCAGAAGCCATCAGGATCTCTTCTGCAAAGTAGCCTTCTTGGTTGCGATCACACCTGTTAGACCTGTCACTCAAATAGCGGCTGGTATTGGGAGCCATTATTCATCCTCACAAAGACAGGGTAGTTTTATGCCAAGGCCATCTTCCTAAGGTGCTGTTAGTGTTCCACCTCAATGAAGATCTTGTGCTTCTATCTTTTGTGCGCTACTCGGGAAGCACCCAAAAGAAATAGTTTTTCACTGCGTTGACATAGTCAGAGCCATCAGAATCTACATCAAAGCTACATCATCTCTTCTACCAAAAAAACAGACTTATCTCTGCTCTCACAAAAAAAAAACTAATATCGCTGGATGGATAAGACAACTCATCTCAAGAGCTTACACTCTAAAAGGAAAAGCTTCTCGAGCACTTTTACATGCTCATTCCACCAGGTCAATGGGTGTTTCCTGGGCATTCCAACATCAAGCCTCTGTTCCCCACCTGGTGCTCTGTTTATACCAGGTGGATGTCCAGTCTTCTACAGATGTAACTCTTGGCCGCAAGGTTCTTGCAGCAGCACTTTAAAGTTGGGTCTGTTGACACCTATTGTTGAGCCTGTGGGTCAGATGTGCAGAGAAGAATGCTAGCATTCCTGTTCTTCATGAGTGGGGTGCCATAAATGCAGTAGATTCATGCATGTCATGTTGCTATAGTTCTTATTTCATGATATTTGCATACGTTAATTTCTAAGCAGCAATAACATCTGAATAGTCAGATAGGAAAACTGACATTAACAGCCGTAAACAGATCATCTTCTTTTTTGCTCCAAGGGTGAAAGATTTGGCATATTGCATAATAAAATTTAGTTTGCTGCATAATGTAAGGAAAGTAAAAACTGTTCCTAGACTTTTCCCAAACACTTTCAGCACATCTTGACATTGGATAGGATCATCTTTTTAGTTTAACTGCTACACAGTGTACAGGTAGTGCGTTTTTGTTACTGTAACCACATTATTAATACATTAGCCTTGGCCTCCGTGACTGGGCTGGGAGCTGAATGCATTGCCTTGCAGGTGGTGATTTGTCATTTGATTGTAATACCTTGACAAGAAGTGTAGTCAAAACCTACCATGCTAATCTCCTTGTTGGTTTTCATTTAAAATATTCAAATCTTTTGATAAGTTAGACTCTTGCAGTACAACTCTTTTTTCCCTTTATTTTGCAGCTGGGCATGGAAGAGGAAGACGTTATTGAAGTTTATCAGGAACAGACTGGGGGTCATTCATCGTTTTAAAATTTCCTGGGTTTTTCCATCCCTTCTTTTGGCACCTCCTTTATTTGCCATGTTGGATTTTTTTCTCTTAACTTTATTTTTTAATATGCCGTTTACCTTCCCTACGTACTGTTTCATTTCTCGCTGAACCAAGCCAGCTGTTGTCACCTCAACATCACTTCATTTCAGCTGCAACAGTATGTACTAAGATGAGCAACCTCTGCATACTGCATCAGTTATGGCCTATCGTCTTCTTTGCTTCTGAACAGTGAGGATCCAGCATGGAAATGACATGGTAACATGAAGACAAGGCGAGAACTTGCTGCGGACTTTGGACCTGCTTCACTTTAAAGTAGAATAATCACAACACCATGAATAACTTCATTGTTCCAGCGCCTGCCTAGGAGATGTAGGAATTGTGTTCTTAGAAGTGTCCATGCTACACAATCCCTTATGTACAAATGTTTGGTGTATCTTTTATTTTTGTGGGGCATGGGTTTTAAAAAAAAGAAAAAAAAAAAAAAAGAAAAAAATGCGTTGTCTGTATTGGCTTAATTGAAGTAATATTAAAAAAACACAAGAAATATTTGTAAAACCTGCTCTCTGCTTTGTTATGGCTTTGGCTTTTCACAGTGGAATTGCATAGAAACTTTCCATTTAGATATTTTCACTTTTGTTTCAGTGGGTGTTCTTGGCAAAGTCAACTTTTCCAAGTGTTTGTTTAAAGCGACTCTGTCATTGTACTAGAACAAAAAAAAAACCTGCTGTCCCTCATGAAATGCATCTTGGGATGCCTGCATGTATCTGCAGCAGCCTCAATGTCTTCCATTATGCCTGACTGTTGGCCTGTTCTGATGGGCAAAGTTCAGATACTTCGGGGTAGTTTTAAATGTGACTGCTCCCTTCAGTTATGAAACATTCCTATTATTATTTACTATGATGGGCTGCCTCACTGGGCAATAGCAATTTTTAGCAAGGAAAAAAAGGGATGGGCAAGTTGCAACACTGTTTAGTGCTGATGATTTGGAAAGCATTTAAGCTAGGTTCACACTATTGAGGGTGTGGAAATTGCAGCTGTTCCCGCAGCCAAAACGCACTGTTCTTTTACCCCTAGATGCCGCACGCACACAAATATGCAGCCTCTCGGTGTCTGGGTCTTGACGCTGAACCGCCGCATATTTGTGTACCATTTGGAAATACATATGTGCTGAGTGCGTGCGCCCTGTGCGCTCCCAGCACATATGTCCATGACTTACGGAAAGGTCCCGATCTCCCCTTGCAATCGGGACTTTTTCCGATCATGGGACCAACGTGACAGCGAATCACGGTGGTCACATGACCCTAAAACCTCGCTCCTCCTCCCGGCCCTTTAAGAGGTTTCAGAAGCCGGGCTTCTGAAACCTCTTAACCCTTTGAGGACCAAGGGACGTATTTGTCCCATGTTTTTATTTGCGTGTATCATCTGATCTGATTAAGACTTAAAACTTTTTTTTTTTTTGGTTTGAGTCAAAATATTAGTTCTTATCAACAAACAACAAATGTATCTAGCTTTTTGCCAATTATTTCATGAAATGGCTTAGTTACAGCAACTGAAGTGTACGAACTTTAAAAACAAAAAAATTGATTCTTTTGGCGTTCCAAAATCTTATAGTCCTCAAAGGATTGGGCCGGGAGGCGCCAGCGCAAAGTGGTAAAAAATGCACAGTGCTGCCAAACATTCTTAATGGCACCCCCCATGGCTTAAACCCTGTGTCAAGGCAAAAGGAAACCACAAACAGTTGCAGTACATCTCTGCAATAAATGCACATTTTACCATAATTTATCCCTTTAAAATCCTTACAGAAAAGTACAGAAAAAATACCAGTTGATTTGCCAGAAATGCACCCAGCTCCTTGGTCCTGTTGTGAGATGACACACAACATTTTTGTTGACTAAGTGGTGTCAGCCCTGCCTATTGTCTTTTGCTGAACTACCCCTATCCCTGTCTCCACAGCAAAAGGCTAAATATTCTGTAGTCCAAAATGAGAACTAGGAGGGCTGTTTGAAATACCACAGGAAGTATGCAGAGGGAACTGGACATCTCTAAATGTCTGACAAGTTTAAAGTTTTGCACTTATCAAACAGATATAGCAAAATTCTTTCAATGGTGTAACAGACTAAAAGGGAACAAATAGTGGAAGAGGAAATTGCATTTTATGATATGCAGGTACCTTTTAGATTGTCTGCACTTTATCCTGGAAAGTGTGATGTGTATAGTGACAGAGTTGCTTAAAAAATGAGAGCTGTGCAACACAGAGTACTTTTCCCCTGCACATCTGGCTTCCTTTCATGATGACAGTATGCACATCAAATGTATCCTCGTGTGATGAGCTATTGCTCTCTACTTGGCTGCTACATCATAACCAAGACCCTTGTGTCTTGCAATTTTTTTTTTTTTTTTTTAACACTTGCAAAACAATAAACAAGGACTCAAAATCCTGATTCTGTAAATCAAAATTAGGGTAAATATGTTTTTAAAAAAAAAATGTCTTGATGGTTTAAGAATTGCGTTTTTCTTTTTGTATGTAAATGTTTTATTTAATGTCTGTTACCTAAGATGCACCTAAACCTTTCAATGCGCATTTACAATCTGTACAATCACATTAGATTTGACAACTACATAGTATGATGGCTTACCTAACTGGTTATAACTTGAATGGATCTTTGTTTTCTGCACTACATAGTTGATTAGCCTACCACACTCAAAACAAACTGTACATTTGGTGTAAAGCGGTATTGAACCCAAAAACCAATATGTAACATATTGCAGCTTACAATCCTTAAATATGGTGGCTGCATAGCTATGATTAAGGGCCTTTGAGGCAGAAATGTGTTAGCGGATTGCTTTTATGCTGTTACAATAAAGGAAGAGTTTGGCGGATTCTGCTGTGCTGGATACTTGCTTTGATTACACAGTAATGTTGGATGCACCAGCAGATTTAGATGGGCTTGACTGTCCAAAAAAAAAAAAAAAAGCCGAACTCCTGCTAACACTTTTTAAGCATTTAAGAACAACCGTATTTGTTTCCTTTTTTAGGATAAAGATTTTACATAAATGAATAAAAGCTGACTATTGTAAGCACTCCTGTTGATGTTAAAGCCTATTTCCGGGTTTATTTCACTGTAGTTTGAGCCAGACTGGTCCAAACTATTTCCTTTATTAGTACATGTGGCATGTGACAGCACTGTATAAACTTTATGTAGCATCAGCTGCATACAATATACAGCACTGTGTTACAGCATTGGTAAAAGAACTTCCTGTCCCGTTCCCAGAACAAAATCTAGTTGGGCTCAGCCATTCACAGGAAGCTTAAAGTGTTACTAAACCCACAACAGTAAAATCAGTCTGTATATGCAGTAAAACATGATTGTTATACTCACTGTGGAACCTAAGGGGTTAATCCTCTGCATTGTGTAAAAAGGCCATTTGATCCTTTCTTCTCTGTTCCTCCCCTTTTTCAAGTGACCACCTCTTATCTCCAGCCTGAACTGTAGGCATGCACATGCTCAGCTTGGTGTGTATTACTACAGAGGTTTGTTTTTCCTTGGGAGAGTGCATGTGATCAGCACAGGGCCAATCAGCACTGTCCAGACAGAGGTCAGGGGATTTGCATCCTCCTAGAGCAGAAAGCAAACTCCTACAAGCTTTAGCTAGTGCCGGGCTGGACACAGAAGTCACAAGGCTGTCTAACTGCTGATGAGAAAAGGTATTTAGCAGTTTATATTTACTTAAATAATTGCACTTCCATGTTCTGTGTACTGTGGGAGACCAGATATAAAGAATGTAGGGTCTGGGGTTTAGTAACACTTTAATTTTTTAAATGAATACAATGTTTTCTCTGGTTGGCTGTGATGGAGAGGCAGGCTGATGACCTCATGATTTCGACCTCAGCCAATCAGAGGAAGTCTTGTATTCACAGGAAGCTTTGTATTTTATGAATGAATACCTGAGCATAACTCAGCCCGACTCAAGTTTGTTCTGGACAGAATGTTGGAACACAGCGCTGTATACTGCATGTAGCTGACTATCCCAGCGCTGCCACATTTCTAAGGTGTTCTCGTCTCCTCCTTAGGATTACTAGCCCTGAGTTGTATATGATGATGCTGAGGGACCACCAAAAGCGCCAAGGAGAAAAGAACAGTGCTGAAGCCTGTTGGAGTGAGGAGTACAGTAAATACTAATGCCTCTTCCAATAGCCCTAAAAATTATCAGCAGTGTGGGGGAGCCCACTGCAAGTGTTGTTTTTTGTTTTTCTTTTCTTTTTTTTTTACAATCTGAGTTTAGCTTTAAATTGCTTGTACAGCAATTGCTTAATCAATTTGTTGTATGTGTGTGTGTGTCTAGCTTTAAAATCAATCTCTCCTTGGAAAAAAAAAAAATGGTTTGCAGTTGCCCAAAATGTTTTTTTGCTTGCTGTCAATACCCACAGCAAGCATGCAGCAAATGAGTTGGGGGTAAAGTGAGAATTCCTTTTCTCAATCTGTGGCAGGTTAGAGACTCAAAGTATTAAGCTGCTCATAGCCTTTCTTTTTCAACCAGGAGGTTGAATGAAAAAAAAAAAGTCGATTCTCATCCACATGCTCAATGTGGATGGGGAAATTCTACCCGCTGAGCTATTGTATTCTGAGAGTGGGGAGACTTCTGGCTGTAGCAGGTGGCGCTGATTGAGTGGAAATTTCCCAACAGAGCGATTTGTACAGACGTTGAATGGTAGATCGACTTCTGTACATCCACCCTGCCCATACATGGATCAAAATTAAGCTGGTTCCTTCTGAACTGGCCAAATTTCAATCCATGTATGGCTGGCTTTAAGGTCATCATTGCGACAGCCAGGCAATAAACATGTACAGAAGGAGAGGTCAGCATTGGCAGCCTAAATATTTATTTCATGCCATTGTAGAGCTTTCACAGGCTAATGGGTGTGGCATTCATTGTCATTAAGTTTCTCCACAGTTGGAATGAATTTGTGCTTACACTTCAG